CCCGCGGGCACGCCGCACTGTGCGGCACTGCGTGGCACTGTGTGGCGCTTGGCCGGTCTGAGCAGGGTACCTGGGCGTTTGGAAATTCCGTGCTAGGGGGTGCCGAGGTATGCCGCAGGCCGGGATGGAGTGAGATCTTGTGGCGTTGTGGGGCAGGGCGTGGGCTAGCGCGCGAGGGCGCAGGCAAGTGCCCGAGGGTATGGGGGTGGGCGCCACCCTGGGTGGGGCTACCCGGAGCATCGTCGGCTCAGTGATGGGTATCCCCAACTCCCTGTCTGTACTCCAAGTGCTCCCTGTCTCCCTCGCACAACACTGGGGAATTCATTCACTGGGCACCTGAACGGTAGGGTTTTATGTGGCCGAGTCAACCCGAGAGAGATGACATATGCAGCACCGATCGCACGTCGTTGAGCAGACGATCAAGAAGAGTGGGCCGTTGAGTTTGCTCAAGGTGCTACGGCCACGAGAGGTCATCGAGGCGCCCATGGGGACCGCCGTGCTCTTCAAGGCGTGGCTGCCTCACCTGACGCGCGCCTCTGCCGAGGGCCCCAGCCCCGCGCCGCAGGATTGGCGCATGCACCATCACACCGCGTACTGACGCTTCGGGACCGAGTACTTCAAACAAACTCTCTCAAACTCTCTCTCTCTCTCCGACTCTCCGAGTACTTTGGTCTTTGCGTGGGTGGGTGGCGCGGGGCAGCAGCCAGCACATCTACTGTTGTGGCCTAAAGTCTGCCCAGGTTGTGAGGGACACGATCCCGGCGTGAACATGACTAACTGACGGATCCGCTCCTGACAGTGGCACGCACCGCGCTGCGGCGCGTGCCACTGTCTTTGTTTGAAGTTAAAAGTCGAATCAGAGCGCCGTCGGCGCTGTCCCTCGTTTTCCTCCCAAGGACCGCCCGTCCGGCACCGCTCCGGGACGCACGCCGGCGAAGCACCATCAAAGCTGCTGTACGGCCCCGGCATCGCCTTCCCAGGCTTAGCTAGACTGAGAGATATTGTGCACATGGTTAGTCTCTACAATATATACACTGACACTGAACCTCAGAGCTCGTCCCGGTCCGTCACGGCCATCCTTGGCCTCCGGAGGGCCCCCGGCCGCGGCGCGGTGCGGCGGCGTCACAAATCCGACGGCAGAGCACCGGGACGCGGTCGAGCGATCTGAGGCCCAACTAGGCGTATGCATTGCCCATCCAGGGCTATCACATGTACCTATCAACAGGCGCCTGCGGCGCGGCTCAGGAGCTGCTGCTCCAACTTGTTCACACTTTCGACCGGCACAGTCGGCACAGCTTTGCGTGGCGGCTTCGCACAGCATCATGTTCAGACGCATGACTCGCTCCGCCCAGCTTTGCATATTTGCGCTGGCTTCTCCCGCCGCCGCGCTGCCACCGGCTCACGGCCTCTGGATCAATCGCCGTACGCTTCTCTCGCACGGCGCTGCCGCCTCCGTGCTGCTGCCTCTGCGCAAGGCGCCGGCCGCCGCGCCGGCAGCGGCCGGCGCCGGCGTCGCCGTCTACGAGATTGCCTCCGCCGCCCTGGACCGGCGTTCCTACCGTGGGCTGCGCCTTGCGAACGGGCTTCAGGTCCTGCTCGCCTCTGACCCGGCTGCCGGCAAGGCCGCCGCAGCCATGAATGTTGCGGTTGGCTCCATGTCCAATCCGGAGGCGTGGCAGGGGCTCGCCCACTTTTGCGAGCATATGCTCTTCCTCGGCACGGCCTCCTACCCCGACGAGGGAGACTTTGAGTCGTACATCGCCTCAAATGGCGGCTCCAACAACGCATACACCGACTCGGAGGAGACGGTCTACTTTTTCGACGTGGGCGCCGGCGCGCTGCCGGGCGCGCTCGCGCGCTTCTCCGACTTTTTCGCGGCGCCGCTCTTCACCGAGTCTGCGACGGCGCGCGAGGTTGCGGCGATCGAGTCGGAGCACTCGAAAAACATCCAGTCAGACGGCTGGCGAACCGAGCAGCTGCTGCGCGCCACGCGGGGCGTGTCGGGCCACCCCTACAACGGCTCGCCGCATACCTGCTACCACCACGGGACTGAACCCACGCTCGATTCGAGACTCTGGAGGTACGGTACTAGGCTTCTTCACGGGCAACCGCGCGACGCTGCGCGACGGCGGCGGCGGCGCACGCGCGGCGCTGCTCGACTTTTACGGCGAGTACTACCGCGCCGACCAGATGGATCTCTCGCTGCTCGGCCCGCAGGCTCGCCGGTAGGAAGGTGTTACCTCACACGGTCTACTGCAGAGACAAGGAGGGCCCACAGCACACACACCAAGAGTACATGTGCTGCACTGGACATCAGAGGCCCGCAGGCTCGCCACACTTGTTAACATGAACTCGGGGGCACGGGACGCGACACAACCGGGGCCCAAACGCCATCTCCCGTCCATATCTCTCGTCCATATCAAGATCTTATCGCACACACCTCTCTCGCTTTCTCTCTCTGTCTCTGTCTCTCTCTCTCCATATCTCACCATACCTCTCGCTCCTCGGCCCTCAGTCGCTCGACGAGCTGCAGCGCCTGGCCACAGAGCAGTTCTCGCGGCTGCCATCGCGCCCCGGCCCGCCTCCAGCTGATCGCTCTAGTCCACCGACTCCTCCTCATCCGCCCTTTCATCCCGGGCACGCGCCTCCCTTGCCAGAGAAGGGCAGCAATGAGTCCGCCAATCGCCATTCCAATAGGCCCGCCCGCCTCCGCAAAGTACGACCCGCTCGGCCTGCCGCTGTCGCCCGACCAAGGCGGCGGCCTCGGCAGCGGCGCCGTCGCTTCGCCATTCGCGACGCTTGTCGTGCCCGTGCGCGAGATTCGCCGAGATTTGCCGAGATTCGCCGAGATTCGCCGAGATTCGCCGAGATTTGCCGAGATTCGCCGAGATTCGCCGAGATTCGCCGAGAGGAGTCCTTTCGCCCTACGCTCGTCCTGCGCTGCGCTTCGACGCGGAGCACACGCCCCCGTGCTTGAGCAAGCACCCGAGCCGCCCTTGTCACCGCCAGCACTACTGCCGCCGCCGCCGTCACAGGTGCGCGAGCAACGCGCCGTGTCTGCGACATGGTGCTCTCCCGCCGAGAGCTGCATGCAGAATAGTCCGCCTTAGTACTCGCGAGGTGAGCAACGTGTTCGAACGTCTTCGGCGGTCTTCGGCGGTTCTTCAGCCCTTATACTCGCGCGGCCCCACCGCCGCCCGCGCGCCGCCGTCCGCCCGTGTGCTGCTGCAGCACCCTCCGCCACCGCCGCCCGCCTCCGCAGCGCCCTCGCGCCCGCGTGGCACGATGGACCGGTGTTCGGACCGCAGTCGGTAGCCTCACACCCAGGGCCGGGGAGCTAAGGGCTCTGAACACACGGCTGGAGACTGTGACCCTGATGTTGGTGTATGCACGCTGCAGGTGCCTCCCCGTCGCCGACTTCGACACGTGGCTCGCCTGCAAGCCGCAGGTCGCCCAGATATGGGGAGATATGGGGTGGTCAGGGAAGAACATGGCTCGTCTGCAAGCCGCAGGTCGCCCTCTCGCAGCTGCTCACCGCGCGCGCCGACGGGTCCCTCCTCTCCCTCCTCAAGAGGGAGGGGCTCGGCACGGCGATCGAGGTCGGCGTCGAGGAGCAGACGCGCTCCTTCGCCGTCGTCACCGCCTCGCTCGCCCTCACCGAGGCGGGCCTCGCCGCGTGGCCGACGGCGATGGGCCACCTCTTCTCCTATTTGCGCCTATGCCGCGAGAAGGGCGTGCCGTCCCCACATCTCCCCACATCTCCCCATATCTCCCCACATCTCCCCACATCTCCCCACATCTCCCCACATCTCCCCATATCTCCCCACATCTCCCCACATCTCCCCATATCTCCCCACATCTCCCCACATCTCCCCACATCTCCCCACATCTGACCATATCTCCCCATATCTCCCCACATCTCCCCACATCTCCCCATAGGCGTGCCGTCCCACGTGTTTGACGACGCTAAGGCGCTTGCACAGCTTGGCTTCCGCTACGCCGAGCCGTCGCAGCCGCAGGCCTTCGTCACCGCCACCGCCGCGTCGATGCCGCTCTATCGGCCCGCCGCATGGCTGAGCGGGCCATCCTTGCTCGAGGGGGCGGGGGGTCCGCCCACCCTCCGCCAACTGCTCGGCGGGATGACGCCTCGCGCCGCGATGGTCGAGGTCTGCGCCAAGGAGGTGGCGCCCAAGGCGCCGCTGAGCGAGCCCATCTACGGAACGCGGTACGGCCGGCTGCCGATCGAGATGCCACTCCGGGCCACTTCGGCTGATCTCGCGGCATCTTGGGGCATCAGGTACGGCCGGCAGCCGATCGAGGGCGAGGTTGCGGCGTGGGAGGCGGCGCCGCTGCTGCCCGAGCTCTCGCTGCCGCGCCCGAACCCGTTCATCCCCAAGCGGCTCGCCATCAAGGCATATCTCCCCATATCTCCCCATATCTCCCCATATCTCCCCATATCTCCCCACACCTCCCCTTCTCTCCATATCTCCCAAGTGGCTCGCCATCAAGGCTGGCCCTGGACACGTCCACGACACGTCCCTCGATGTCCCTCGGCACGCTACGACACGCCCACGACACGCCCACGACACGTCCACGACACGTCCGCGACACGTCCACGACACGTCCACGACACGCCCACGACACGTCCACGACACGTCCATGACACGTCCACGACATGTCCACGACACGCTCGCACCGGCTCGCCGTGGCAGGCGCCACAGACGTTGCCGCGCAAGGAGGGCGTGCCAAGCCCGACCCCGTCGCTGCTGCCCGCCGCCGACGGCTCCTGCGCCTAGAAGCGGCATACAGACCTTTGTCTTCCAACTAGCGCTCGAGAGGACGAGAGGGCCTCTGTAGCTCCTCTGTACTGGTAGCCCGTGTATTCACGCGGTGCTCTGAGCCCCCCCGAGACCCCCCACCATGTAGCGCCACTTCATGAGCTGCCCCTGTGAGCCGCGAGCTATGTGCCCAGCAGTCAAGACCCACTGACTCGGCCGGTGGCAGTGTGTCTCGTGTCGGCGCCTGAGCCACTCGTGCGCAGCGTGTGTGCGTGTGCGTGTGCGTGACGGACTGGTTGACTGTTGGTGTATTCACCAGTAGGCGCGCGAGTCTACTTCTTGCCCGAGATTACCCGAGATTACCATGACCCGAGATTACCCGAGATTGCCCGAGATCAGGCGCGCGCGTCCACTTCTTGCCCGACCGCACCTTCGGCCGGCCGCGCGCATTCGCCCTCTTCCATAGAAGCGGAAGACGGGTTCTTGTCTTCCAGCAGCATTCGGCCGATTCGGTTGTACACCGATGGCAGCTTTGTTATCTAGACTGAGGCGTATCGGCGCTATATCGGCGCATTGTCCGGCTCAGCCTCCGCCTTGGCCGCCACCTTCTCTGCCGCCGCTGCCGCCGTATTCGTATCCCTCGTATCCCCGCCCTGAGGTTGGCGTGTTACATGACATGCACATGCAGGCGTACTTTTTGTGGCGCTCGCCCGAGTTCTACACGTCGGCGCGCACCGCAGTCACCGCCGAGCTCTTCGCGGGCATGCTCGCGGAGGTGCTGCAGGAGGCGACCTATGAGGCGGCGCAGGTGCGACCACCACCTCTCCACCCTCTCCTCCGTCACCTCGATCGCTACCACCATCGCCATCCAGCCTGCCGCCACCTTCACCACCCCCTCCCTCCCCGCCGCCCTCCCCACCGCCACCGCCGACGCCACCGCCACCGCCGCCGCCGCCGCCGACGCCGCAGCCGCCGCCGCAGCCGCCGCCGCAGCCGCCGCCGCCGCCGCCGCCGCCGCAGCCGCCGCAGCCGCCGCAGCCGCCGCAGCCGCCGCAGCCGCCGCAGCCGCAGCCACAGCCGGCGCGCCTCCGCAGGCGCGCCTGGGGGACCCCTCTGACTATTGCACTGATGTCTGTGGGATGCCTTTCCATGAGAAAGCACACACCGCCCCGTGTGTGCTCTGCGAGTGCGTGTGCCCCGTCGACGTGTTAGGACGTGCGTAACACTGACTGACTAACCGACCGCAGGCAGGCCTGGTCGCGGCGTCGGGCGTGAGCTCAGACGCGTTTACGGTCCAGCTGGGCGGGTACGACGAGTCTCCCCACATCTCCCCACATCTCCCCACATCTCCCCACACCTCCCCACACCTCCCCACACCTCCCCACACCTCCCCACACCTCCCCACACCTCCCCACGTCTCCCCACATCTCCCCACGTCTCCCCACATCTCCCCACGTCTCCCCACCTCTGACCATATCTCCCCACACCTCCCCACGTCTCCCCACATCTCCCCCATCACCCCGCCGCAGGTACGACGAGCGGCTCCCCGCGCTCGCCACGCTGGTCGCGTCGACGGTCCGCTCGTTTGAGCCGACGCAGGCTGCCTTCGAGCGCAAGGTCGACATCTTGCGCCGCCAGTTGCGCGACGCGGAGCGGCGGCAACCGATCTCGCTCGCCGGCTACCGGCGCGGGCTCGCGCTGCAGCCCGCGCGCTTCTCCAACGAGCAGCTGGCGGCGGCGGCGGGAGAGGTCTCCCTCTCGGACGTCGCCGCGATGCAGGAGGGCTCTAGAAGCGGAATGCGCATTCCTGTACCGTCCCGCCGCATTTGGCCGTATTCCGCTCTATGCGCTGTATTTGCATCCCTCCTCTTCACGTGGTGCTCCGAATACACGGCACGAGGCCGCCCTCCTGCCCTGAGGTTGGTGTAAGGTATAGCAGGAGGGCGTGCTGCGCGAGGCGCAGCTGGAGGCGTTTGTCGCGGGCAATCTGCGCGAGAACGAGGCGGCCGAGATGGTGCGGGGCGTTCGCGCCGCGCTGCCGGCGGCGCCGCTCGCCGCGGAAAGGTTGCCCGTCCGCCGGCTGCGGCGGCTGCCCCCGGGCGGCGCGACGCGCCAGTTCCTGGCGGGCAACCCCGAGGAGCCCAACGGGGCGCTCGAGATGTACCTGCAGGTGGGAGATATGGGGAGATATGGGGAGATATGGGGAGACGCACTTGCAGGTGGGGGGCGACCGGGAGGACGCGACCCTCGTTCGCAGTGCCGTACGCTCACTCAGGACGTGTGCGTGTCCGTGAGCGTGTACGTGTGGCTGAGTGTCTAATCTGTGTGTCTGTGTCGCTCCAGTGCGGCCGTCTCTCCGTCTCGCTTGCGTCCACCCCTACCGCCCGGTGTCCAGTCGCTGGTCAGACTAGTCGTCATTTGCCTGCCTGCAGGTGGGCCCCGACGAGGGCGACGATTGGCTGCACCTGCTGCTCCTCTCGCAGATGATAGACAAGGCGGCGACGCCGAGCGTCTCCCCATATCTCCCCATATCTCCCCATATCTCCCCATATCTCCCCATATCTCCCCATCTCTTTCAAGGCGGTCTATGCTGAGCTGCGCACCAAGCAGCAGCTGGGGTACATTGTGCAGTGCGGCTCCACCGAGGCGGACGGAGTGCGTGGCCTCGTCTTCATCGTGCAGTCGTCGGTGCAGCCGCCGCCCGAGCTGGAGGCGCGATCTCCCCATATCTCCCCATATCTCTCCATGGTGCAGCCGCCGCGAGATTGTCCCCGGAGTCCGTGGGAGATGACCGAGGTCGCCTGAGATGCTTCCGAGATATGCCCAGAGCTCTCTCTCTCTCTCTCGCAGCCTCCCGCCCTTCACCAGGCGCGGCTCGAGGCTTTCCTCCGCCTCTTCCGCGGCACGCTTCTGCTCACCTCGGACGAGGAGCTAGACACCTACCGCGAGTCGCTCGCGGCGCAGATGCAGGACGTCGACCAGCGAGCCGACGGGCAAGCCTCCCGCCTCTGGGCGGAGGTTGCGACGCGCCGCTACGACTTTGGGCGGCCGTGGCGCTCGTCCAAGCGGATGCGCCGCGTGACGCGCGACGGGCTGATCGGCTTCTACGACAAGTACATCGCCGCGGGCGGCGCGGGCCGCTGCCGGCTCTCGACGCACGTCTTCTCGCAGCGCAGCCCGCCAAAGGGGCCGCTCCGGGACGACCCATTGCCCGACGCGTTCTTCCCGCCGACCGCCGACGGGTTCGGAGTCGACTGGGCTGCGGACCGCGCGGTTGTCTAGTAGCAGCGCGCCGCGGCCACCGTTCCAATGTGCCGTTCCCCGAGCGGAGCTGATGCGACCTCCTCTACACGCAACGTCTGCTGGAAGATATTCATCTGTACTGGTAGAGGGTAGTTGCATGGAACAACCGCGAGCACGACTGCTTATCTCCCCGTGTCGCGGCGGGCTCACGGCTTCTACCGCCTGCTCATCCTCGTCCGACTCCTTGAACTTTTTTACAACTGAAGTCTTCTGGAGAGCATTTTTCCAAAAGGGTCATGGGTCCCGAGTTCGCCGTCGAAGGGACAGGGAAAACAGGGTCACAGGGACGTGTCCAAACCAATCGCCGCCACGATCCCCTTAGGGTACCCCTAGGGTTCTGAGGGCCGGATTTTTTTAAGACCTTTTAAGAAACGAGGAGGTTTGGGGGCTTAACTTGCCATTTAAGAGATTGCAGGCACGGGGGGTCCCTCTTTTAAGTCCGTTTAAGAAAATCGGCCTCAGCGGCACGCGTCGCTGGGTTCCGCGCCGGTTTCTCCAATACTGCCGTTATTAGGCACGAACCCGCCACTGAAGACACATCCGTAAGTCTGGTGCACTGGCGGGAGCCATACTCGCATAGGGGACGCGTGCCAGAGCTGACTGTAGCCAGCTTCCCGGCCTCCGGCGTCTACCGGGGAGCCTCCCGGACCATCGACCTCGGGAGCTCTCCCGCACCGTTTAAGCGTTTAAGACCGTTTAAGGAATCGGCGGCCCAGCAGCTCTTAAAACCGGCCTAGGCCGGTTTTAAGCCGTTTAAGCCGCAGGCGCCCCAGGGCCCACCCTTTTAAGCCTAGGGGTACCCTAAGACGATCCCCTCACCGATTCGAGGCGGCGTTGCTGGCTCTGTGCTGGCAATGCACAGGTTGCTGCTCTACGCTCTCGCTGCCATGAACGGCGGTCCCTTCTCGACCGACCCTGTGGTGCAAGAGGACTACATATCACCTCATCCCGATGCGCTGCGACGCGGCCTCATGGCCGTGCACTCAACCCGTCGTTCGAAGCACAGCGCTCAGCGCCAGCCCGTGGCGACCAGAGATGGACGCTTTTGTGCTATTACGCCATGTCCGCGACAAAATATCATTGCCCAAGGTGGCAGAGCAGTGGCCGTTTCCACCACCTGCAAAAAAGCCGCGTGCAGTTCAGCGTCGATGGCAAGATGTGCTCCGAGGCCTCGCCGGTATCGACGAGCTATCCTTCTGATGTGCGGAATGTGCGAGGATCAACAAATGGGCGAGACGCAGCTGCACAGCACCGAGGCAAGCCTGCAGCCGTGGGTCGAGGACGCTCTCGTGAAGCTGCACGCGCGAAAAAACGTGTCGATGAACTCAAACTATACACTCCGTGGACGATCGAGGAGGACCGCCTCCTGTTGCACTCGTACCAGAGCGGCGCGAAGATCACTGAGATTCGCGTGAGTAGCCGATCCGCCGAAGCAATCAAGCTCCAGCTACGCCGACTTCAGAACGTCACGCCACTGTGGTACGCGACGCGCACCACAAGAGCCGCTGCGACCCGGAGGCGCCGTATCAGTACCTGCAGTCGTGCACGACAAATGGACGCCGATCGACTCGACCCTCGCTCTACCGCCGTGCGCGCAGATCGACTGGATTCGCGGCGTCGCCAAGGCGCCTCCCTTACCCTGTTCGCCTGCACGCGCGCGTGATCATTCGGCTAACTCCAACGACTAGTGAAGCCATACCCTCCCAAACCCGCATCTCCTCCGTCATTCATCACCCAATCATATCAGACCCCACCGTCCCCGAGATTTCTTCAGCTTACGTCACTGACCTCGCGACCGACGGCAGCGCCGAGCTAGACCCAGACGGCCTCCCAACATCCTCCTCCGCTACTGACACTTTCTCTCTCTTCGCCATCCCGCCCCACCTCACTCAAACGGCGCGCTGCGCTGACAGGCCTAAGCCTACACGCCTACACACCACCACGCGCACACGTATTGCAGTCTCGTTATCAGCACTAAATCACTGTCGCTATCTTAGGAACGTAGCAGCAACCCACACCTCCACTTCTGCCGATCTCTCTCGCGTACTTCCTCCATGCCTTCACCATCGCTTATCCTGATACTTCTCTCCACCACCGGAAGATTCCTTCACACACTCTCTCTCCCCTAGAGTCTCTTGACCGTCTCCGTTACCACTCAAGAGTCCATTTATGCGATCTGCAATGTGGTAATTTCCTTCGGCAGTGGTGTCTAGTGCTATACTGCTACAAAGTGAGTAGTGTGTAGTTGCCTGAATTTTTACAGATTACACGGCTTTTGGCTGAAGTGTGAAAAGAACAAAGATGGCCTCCTCCGCATTATAATTCCCCGCAACCACACGACTCAGATGCGCCCCGGGTCGCCTCCAACTCAGTCAGCGACGCGAGCGAGAAAGAAAGAACAGCGAATCGCTGACACGTGACAGCGTACGTCGACGATCGATACACATATAGCTCACCTGTCACTACCTAGGCTAGTGCCATTTCACTCTGGCACAGCTCGCGTTTCAAAACCTTGATTTTGACCATTTGCGCAAAAAGGTACATGTCGGTGCCTTCCAGAGGCAGCT